GAAGACCTGGCTGTTCCGATGTGCCTTCTCAGATTAGGAACCTCCAATACCAAGTCCTAGAAGCACTTTAGTAGAACTAAGATTACTGCACACCGCACACTGCACTTACTTATAATCCTACATACCTCCTGCCACATCAGCACTTTTAATCTTGTACCCATTACTCTGGCCTGGCCCAGTTTTATAGTGTCTCGATGTATTGTTTATTGTTGTTGTTTATTCTGCTTAACTGTTTTTAATTTGCTTTAGGTATTGTATTGTTGTATTGTGTTTTGAGGCCTTGGCCTATGTAAGCCGCATCGAGTCCTTCGGGAGATGCTAGCGGGGTACAAATAAAGTTATAATAATAATAATAATAATAATAATAATAAAGCTGTGATGCCGAAAAGCAGAGGAGGAGTTGAGATTGGCTCCCACTTGCATTCGGGTTGGGTGGATTTTGTACTGGGAGGGCCTTTACCGTTAGGAGTTCCCAAACTACCAAAGGTACTGAAGGAAATGGAGGAAACGGTAGAAACGAATTCCACGCGCAAGTCTATTGTATTGTTCTTTCTTGGTGTTTTTTTTACACTACAAATAAGATATATGCGGCATGCATTGGCATCTTTTATGTTTTCTTCAAACCATAGTCCGGCCCCTCAGCAGACTGAGGGACTATGAACTAGCCCTTGGCGTAACAAGTTGGAAGACCCCTGGCATAACTGGAGGAAGTCCACTGATATTGGTGATATTGGTTATGGTACTTTCCAAAGTGTTGATGACTACCCAGCCCCATTCGTTTGCTTGTCTCTAAATTTGAGACCAACATGGGCAACTGTCATCTTGGCTCGATTTTCCTTGCACTGAGCCCAGCGTAAATACCTGTGTCGCCAGTACTCCGAAGTGCTTCTTTGGCCTTTCATGTACCTTGAGCTGCTTCCACCCCAGGGTGGGAAGCCCAGCGTAAGCCCAAACGTGGAATTCGCCAGATTTCTAAAAATAACGCCTGCTGGGGTTGAACAGTGGAGGCAGCGAATGCCGAGCCCCTGCGGAGGCCTGCCAGGCCCGGTGAGGTGCTATCTTCCTTTCATTTTGGGGTCGCCGTGGGAGTCCGTGACCAAGGGGATATAGGGAGGGCTTGGGCACCTGAGCGAGACATTGCTGGGCTGCAGTGGAGCCTGTCATCCCTGTGACGCGTAAGGAGACTCCGCCAGGGCTGAATCGCCTCCAGGATCCATCTGAGCTCCAAGCATGAGGTTGCTGTCTTTGTTTGCCTTGCTTGCTCAGCTGTCGCGCTTGGCATCTAAAATAAGGGGTGTGCAAAATGACCAAAATCCGTTATGTTTCCGTTCTGTTTTTGTTTCGTATTCCAGGTTTTGTTTTCAGGAAGATTCCGGAAATTTAGGAACGGGGCCGTTCAGATTTGTAATTTGGGATCTGGAGTTCCGCTTTGGGAAGAATATTCCTGAAAAGAGAACCAAGGGCAGGAGAACAGGACAAAATTCGAAACAAAACCAAACGGATTTCTGCCATTTTGCACACACCTATAAAACTTGTTCTTTCAAGATGGTCTGGCATTTTTCTCTGGGTTTGGAGATAGCTTCTGGTGACCAAGGCTAACCTCCATGCAACTGTCTCATAAAGCTGTAAATTGTAAAAGGGTTGCTTTCCTTTCCTTTCTCGTGATTGGGATGCAATAAGGGACGGAAACGAAGGAAAGGCTGGTGTGTCATGACCCATCTCTACTTTCGTCCCAAGTCTTTTGGGGATGCTGGTTGGAATGTTCAGGCTGATTTACTTGATTATTTGGAGGTCACCTAGCTGAGAAAGATCCAAGTTCTCTTCTTTTAGAATACCTCGTGTCTCTGGCTTTGTCCTTGCTGACTTTCTAGCAGGTCACTGTAGGGGTGTTATTGAATGCAGAATTTCAAACTTGTTCTAAAGTGGGCTTTGAAAACAGTTTTAAGAAAATGCTTTGCAAATGGGGTTTTAAAGAATGGTTTGATCCTGGGCAACATTCAGGGGCTCCCACCGGTCAGGGAAGTGATAGACGCTTCCATAGACATAAAAAAGAGGGTTTTGAAAGTTGTCTGGAGCAAGGCAGGAGAGATTAGTCATCCTGATTCATTGTAGGAGTGAAAGATGGGTTTGCAAACCGTGGGGGAACTCCATCCCTCAGGATAATCGATTAGGGAGAATTGGATCCTATTTTCTCCTGGTTTTCAAATGTCCCCAAGCATTGCTGAGGAATTCCACTGTGGAGAAGAAACATGTGGGTTTCTTTTGTGTGTAAAACCCCTGTTTTTCTGCACAAAAAGTGTTCTTTTTCCTTGTATGAAACTTATTTTCTGCACACACAAAAACCCACGTATTTTTCTCTGCAAAAGAACTCAGTAGTTGCATTGAGATGTTTGAATATGAGGCAAATACTGTGAAAGAGATGTCATATTCTCCCTCAGAAGGGACGAAACCGCAGAGGACAGAATGGTTGAGGACCTAGATCCCACGGCTGGAAGTTTGGGTTGAATTTGAGACAGTGGCCCACTTCTGTATTAGATACCTATTTGTCACGTGTCACTGTCAGATCAGGTTTGACTTAGAAAAACCCTACCTTGTTACCGCTTTAAGATTAGTTATAGCAAAAAAAAAAAAAAAGCAAGGAAATGATGAACGCGAAATGGATGATTGGTACAAAGAGGTGTGGGACAGCGCAATAAAGGATAAACTGAGTTGTGAAATAAAATGCAAAATAGGATCAATGAAAAGAAATGATTTTGAGGCCATATGGGGCAGATTCTTAGGATATATATTTGTCAAAGAAAATGGAATAAAACCAAATCAACATACATTAGCGTTCAATATAAGAATTATTATTATTATGAAGAAAGCCCAGAGCTGACCAGGGAATTCTGGAAGCTGTAGTCCCAAAATGGAACATTTCTAAGTTTCCATTCTGACTGTCAGAAGGTTCACAGTTCAAGTCTACCTACCCACAGTGCATGAATGTACCGACCCATTTATTATTATTATTATTATTATTATTATTATTATTATTATTGTATTATTGTTATTATTATTACTGCTACTACTACTACTACTACTAGCAACTTGGATACCCAATGTCAATTTTTAATTGGACAAAATGTATAAGGTTGAGGGTGAACTACAACTCATATCATGACAGGTTAACTCAGAGAAGCTCCATCAGTACTTAAAGTTTGTTATGTTTGGCAAATTTGCTCTGGATGCATCATCGGTGGGGAGTGTGCTCTCACCATGGTGAGTCAGTCCCCTCAAACCCATCCAGAAGGTTGAGTTAGTCATGGGGGTTCTGTGTGCCAAGTTTGGTCCAGGTCCATCATTGGTGGAGGTCACAGTTTCTCTGGTTGTGGGTGAACTGCAACAGCCAGAAAGAAAGGCCACTTTCGCACCCCCCCCACCCAATCAAATTTCAGTGTTCAAATTTGGGCATATAGGGTATGCATGCCAAATTTGGTCCAGATCCATCATTTCTTGGGTTCATAGTGTGCTCTGGATGTAGGTGAACTACAACTCCTCTAAAGCCCTCCAAAGACATCCAGTATTTTTGTTGGTCATGGGGGTTCTGTGTGCCAAATTAGTTCCAGGTCCATTGTTGGTAGTGTCCAGAGTGCTCATTGATTACAGGTGAACTATACATCCCAGGACCTGTAACTCCTATAAATCATGGTGACTTTTCCACAAACCTCTCTAGTATTTTCAGTTGCTGATTCCCCAGTGGCGCAGTGGGTTAAACCCTTGTGCCGGCAGGACTGAAGACCCAACAGGTCGCAGGTACAAATCCGGGGAGAGTGTGGATGAGCTCCCTCTGTCAGTTCCAGCTCCCCATGCGGGGACATGAGGGAAGCCTCCCACAAGGATGGTAAAACAGTATGGTGTTGGTGGAGGACATTGATTGGCAGGGCTCTTGTACATGTTCATGGCGCTCACGATATCCTGCAATGTCATTGGAGGAAGGGCCATTGGTGTATCCTGAGTAGTGGGAGCTAGAGCTGTTTGTGGAGGCAGGAGCTTGTTTTTGTAAGAGCCGTAGCAAACTAGGATTTTGCAAGAGCAAACTAAGCCAGCACGAGCGATGCTCCGCCTCTTTCTGCACCTATTTCCTTTTGCTAGAGCAGCGTTGCGAGCATACGCTCGTGCCGCAGCAAACTACAGGAAGCTTGCGCTCGGGCTTGCTCCGAAGCCCCGCCTTTTTTCCCCCCGAGGCTGCTCTCTCTCTTGTTAGCGTGCCTGTTTTCCATTGCAGAGGGCAGGGATGCGAGCGTATGCTCACAGTTGAATTCTGCCAACTGTGAGAGTACACTCGCATCGCTTCCCTAGCAAGGGAAAACAGGCACACTAGCAAGAGAGAGAGCAGCCTCGGGGGGAAAAAGGCGGGGCTTCGGAGCGAGGTCGAGCACAAGCTCGCTCTCGCTTCCAGTAGTTTGCTACGGCTCTAAGTGGACATCCCAGCCACACATACACATTTTCACTTTTATATGCATTTTCACTTTTATGTGTATAGACCAGTGGTTCTCAACCTGTGGGTCCCCAGATGTGTTGGCCTTCAACTCCCAGAAATCCTAACAGCTGGTAAACTGGCTGGAATTTCTGGGAATTGTAGGCCAAAACACCTTGGGGACCCACAGGTTGAGAACCATTGGTATAGATGAATACAATTAAAAAAGAAAAACCCTATCAATGCAGGACTTCCAAGAGATCAACATTATCCCCTTTCTCCAATGATTCTTTGTCATCTCATAATTTATCTCAAGTATGACAGTTTAATATTACCCTTTGAGGAGTATTTTGGCTTGGTTTGCTCTTGGAGCCGAGTTGGATCTTTCACTATTTGGATATTTTTGTCCCCCACCATCAAATACTCTGTAACTGTTCTCTTTTCAATATGCGGTGTCAGTGCAACCCAACAAGAAATTTTAGGTAGGCACAATCTCCCCATCAACCTGTCATTCTGTGACTAAGGACCCTGTTACTGTTCCCAGGTGGTTCCACCCCAACATCACTGGTGTGGAGGCTGAGAACCTGCTCCTGACTCGAGGCGTGGATGGCAGCTTCCTGGCCCGACCCAGCAAAAGCAACCCGGGCGACTTCACCCTCTCGGTTCGGTAAGCTGAGTCAACGAAACCTTTTTGTGTTCTAGGATAGACCAAGGCTCCTTCCTTCCTTTCTCCTTTCCCCTCATACACATACATTCTTCCCCAATCACATCCCTAGCAACAGCCTTTGTGGTACAAACAGATAGACGAACACACATATGTATGTTCACTTTTATTATATACTGGCTTGGGTACCTGATGATGCCTGGGTTATTTGAAAACGTCTCATATATATATATATATATATATACACACACACACACACACACACACACATATATACATATACATATATATATATATATATATATATAGATAGATAGATTTTATGAATGGGCATGTTGGCATGTGTGGTAAGTTTGTGTCATCAGTGGGGTTCAGTGTTCTCTCTGGCTGCAGGGTGAACTACAATTCCCACCATGGTGGGTCAGTCCCTTCAAACTCCTCCAGCAGGTTCAGTTGGTCATAGGGGTTCTGTGTGTCATTCGGCCCCAGTCTATTGTCAGTGGGGGTCACAGTGTCTCTGGATGTAGATCAACTGCAACTCACAAAAATCAAGGTCAATTCCCCAAGACTGCTTCAGTATGTTCAGTTGGTCATGGGAGTTCTGTGTGCTAAGTGTGGTCCATGTCCATTGTCAGTGAGGGTCCCAGTTTTTCTGAATGTAGGTCAACTACAACTCCCAGAAATCAAAGTCAATTCCTCCCAAACCCCATCACTATGTTCAATTGGTCATATGAGTACTGTGTGCCAAGTTTGGTCCCAGTCCATCGTTGGTGAGGTTCAGAGTACTCTGATTGTAAATGAACGATAAATCTTAGGAACTACAACTTTCAAATGTTAAAATCACTAAATGCCACCAGTATATAAGTTATGCATGTCAAGTATGGTCCAGATCTCTTGTTTGGGTTTATAGTGATAACTGGATGTAGGTGAACTACAACTCCCATAAATCATGGTCAACCCCCCCCCCCCAAAAAAAACCCCAAACCCCTCCTGTATTTTGTGTTGGTCATGGAGGTTCTATGTTTCAAGTTTGGTCCCAATCCATCGTTGGTGGAGTTCAGAGTGCTCTTAGATTTCAGGTGAACAATAAATCCCAATACCTACAGCTCCCAAATGTCAATACCCCCAAACCCCACCAGTATTCAGATTTGGGCATATCAGGTATGCATGCCAAGTGTGGTCCAGATCCATTGTGGTTTGGGTTCATAGTGCTCTCTGAATGTAGGTGAACTACAACTCCTATAAATCAAGGTCTGCTCTTCCCAAACCTCTCCAGTATTTTGTGTTGGTCATGGGGGTCCTGTGTGCCAAATTTGGTCCAGGTCCATTGTTGGTGGGGGTCACAGTGCTGTCTTGATGTAGAGTGAACTACAACTTCCATCCTGTTGAGTCAGTCCCCCAAACCTCTCCATTATGTTTAGTTGCTGATCAATTCCTCTCTGTTTGTAGTGTGCCACAGAAAAAGAGAAAGAAAGGGATATGGGAGAGGCAGTGGGGTGGGATCATGCATATTCCACACCAATGGAGAACAAGATGTCAGTGGTGGAGGAAACACATACAATCTAGGATGACATTGTTGGTCGAGGACATTGGCGGGGGTTTGTGGCTCTTGTACATATTCAGGGTGTGTGCAATGGCATATCAGTGGTCTAGGGTTAGACTAGTCTTCATACCTGCAGGAAGGGAGCTTTTGATGCTCCCATACTTGTTCCTGGGAGTCAGTGTTTTTCCCCCTTCTCTGCCCAGGCGCAATGGGGCGGTCACCCACATCAAGATCCAGAACACAGGTGACTACTATGACCTCTATGGCGGAGAGAAGTTTGCCACCTTGGCCGAGCTGGTCCAGTACTACATGGAACACCACGGGCAGCTCAAGGAGAAGAATGGCGATGTGATCGAGCTCAAGTACCCGCTCAACTGTGCCGACCCAACGTCGGAAAGGTGAGTTTTGCTTGGAGGGGCTTTGTTTGGAGCCAAACTAGTGCCTTCCTGTTTTCAAGGGGTTATCTGCCTCAGTGTTTCTATTGCCTGGGAGCGTGAGGTGGAAGGTGTCATCGGATAGATGCCCTTCTGCCCTCTGACTGAGATGCAAGATGTGACATGCCTCAGTTCCACGTTCCACGCTCTTTCTCCAGGTGGTTCCATGGTCATCTGTCTGGAAAAGAAGCCGAGAAGCTGTTGACGGAAAAAGGAAAACACGGCAGCTTTCTGGTCCGCGAGAGCCAGAGCCACCCTGGAGACTTTGTCCTGTCTGTCCGGACAGGAGATGACAAAGGGGAGAGCAACGATGGGAAGTCCAAAGTGACCCACGTCATGATCCGATGCCAGGTAAAGAAACGGGGAGGTTGCTGGACTAGGGCTGGCTCAGGAAATGGAGGGAAGTGCCTGATGTTTTCAGTGCAGAGATGAAAAGCTGGGTCTCCAGTTCTGAATGTAATAATAATAATAATTTTATTTTTTACTCGCCTCTCCTTGTGGCTCGTATAGTATAGCTGTGCCTCTCCCCTTTGCTCACAGAAGCATGGCACGTTGAGGCCTTTGGCCTTTCATCAATGCAGTGGGTGGGGTGTTTGCATCCCAAATGGATTTATATAGGAGGAGTCTTTACTCCCAGGGTGGCTTACACATTGTTGACTGGACAGTTCCCTGCCCTCTGACTTATACTTTAATAAGAAGAAAAAGGGATAAAAGCCAACTAATGTTGGCTGCTCTTCTCTCCCTCTGTGGCCAAGGCAGTGGCAGTAGGGATGGAGAGAGGGGCATCCATCAGTTTCTGGACCTAGCCTTTTCAATGATCAGTTCTCAATCAAATCTTGGTTCCGCAAGATCACAGGTGGTTTCAGAGGGGCAAAAAACACAACTGAAGAATCAATAAAAGAGAACCAATATATGTTTCTGTCCAATTTTTAGTCAAGAATTACAGCATCTGTTGACATTCAGACTGGAGTTTCCTAGGACTGTGAATATATTTTTTTTTGTCATGTCAGGAGCGATTTGAGAAACTGCAAGTCGCTTCTGGTGTGAGATAATTGGTCGTCTGCAAGGACGTTGCCAAGGGAATGCCCAGATGTTTTTGATGTTTTACCATCCTTGTAGGAGGCTTCTCTCATGTCCCTACATGGGGAGCTGGAGCTGATAGAGGGAGCTCATCTGCGCTCTCTCCGGATTCAAACCTGCAACCTGTTGGTCTGCAGTCCTGCTGGCACAGGGATTTAACCCACTGCGCCACAAGGGGCTCCGACTAATGTTATGCTGACTATACAGATGGGTCGTTCCCTTCCTAGGTTACTTTCCAAGTTTTATTCACTGAGTTCCTGCCCCAGAATAAATGTCTGTGCATGATCAAATGCAGGTTCTTTTGTGCCAAGCGGCTCACTGGGCCTCTTGTCTTGCTTTTCCTTTCAAAGGATATGAAATATGATGTTGGTGGCGGGGAGAAGTTTGACTCCTTGACTGACCTGGTTGAACATTATAAGAAGAACCCCATGGTGGAGACCCTGGGCACCGTCCTTCAGCTGAAGCAGGTGAGAAGGCAGGTGTGAGGGCTTGCTTGATGGCCCTTTCACCCCTTTTTGTGGAGGTCCGGGGCAAAAAACGTGGACCCTCTTGGATACAAATGTTTCAACCATCAGCTTGACCCATGGAGTCTCATCTGCAAATCTCTTTGGCAATTCGACACCCCATTCACTCTCTTAGGGTTCAGTCGTACACTGATTTCCTTCCTTTTTTCTTCTGACCTTTCATCGCTTTGTAGAGCTCAAGCCTACAGTTTGGACTCCCGTTTGGGGAGAAAGGCAGGATTTAAGGCAAGCAGATTGTTAAATAAAACCCTATACTTTCCAGATGTATTGTTGTCTTCCTATCAACTTAGAAAGTTGCACGGGTTTTTGCCATCTTCAGTGGGGAAGGTGCCACACACCCTAATAATAATGATGATAATATAGTAATAATAAGTTACTAAAATAATAATAATAATAATAATTATTATTTAACAGAAGGAGAGAAATAGTGCATAGATAATTCCAGGAAGATGCTACTCACACACACTAGCTTTGGTACCTGGCATTGCCCGGGTTATTTGAAAAAGTCAATTTTTAATTGTACAAAATGCATAAGGTTGTGGGTGAAGTACAGCTAACATCATGCCAGGTTAACCCTGAGAAACCCTACCAGTATTTAAAGTTTGTCATGTTGGGCAAGTTTGCTCTCTCTAGATGCTGAATTCTCCCCAAACCTCTCTCGTATGTTCAGTTGCTGATCAATTCCTCTGTTTGCTGTGTGCCATAGAAAGGAATAGGAAAGCGTTAAGGGAGAGGCTGTGGGTGCAGTCATGCAAATTCCGCACCAATGGTGAGCGTAAGAAACACTGGGATGTCTGTGGTGGAGGAAACACATCAAAACTAGGATGAAATTGTCCCCTTATGAAAGCCTTCACTTGGGTGGTGGGCAGTATGGTGTTTCTGGATGACATTGGCAGGGCTCTTGGAGATGTTCATGGCGCTCACTATAACCTGGTTGCTCACTATAACCTGCAATACTATAGCTGTTTGTGGAAGTGGGAGCCTGTCTGTGTAGGTGGACACCCCAGCCATGTAAGTGGACCCCCCAGCCACATACACACATACATATGTTTACTATTATTATGTGTATAGATTATGTTTCTTTATGCCCTGCTTTTTTTCTTTCCACAAGGAGACTCAAAACGACTCACACGAAAAGCATTTCAATGCCGTTTAAAATTACCAACCTACAAACATGCACACAGAATTTAGTAGCGTTGGTATTTTTTTAAAATGTCGTTCAAATCCTTCTCTCCTCCTTGCAGCCTCTCAACACCACGCGCATCAACGCAGCAGAGATCGAGAGCCGGGTCCGGGAGCTGAGCAAGCTGGCGGAGACCACCGACAAAGTCAAGCAGGGCTTTTGGGAAGAATTTGAGGTAATTTGCTCGATGGGACCAACACAAGACCCTTCCATGTCCTACAGCAGAGCGCATGCAAATGTGTTCATTGGTCCTTGCTCTCCCATCTTTATCCTATAGCGCCGCTAGGGGGAGTTGTGGCCTTGCTTGATTCCTCTTTTTTCCCCAGGATGAAAGCTCTGTTTGCCAAACATTGAACGTGGCTGTACATTCCTTTCCCAACATCTTTGGGTTGGGAAGGTCTGTAGAAACCTGGATCGTCCATTTTCACCTTTCATTGTTTCCTCTCTCAGAGAGACGTTTTGCTTCATCCCTGTGGTCAGCTTGGTCCCTTTGGTATCACTTTAGTATATATGTATATTTATACAACATTCCCATTTTTCCCCACACACATACAAGGGGGAAAGGTATGAAACTCAGGAAGAAAGGAAGAAAGAAGGTGGGTATAAAGGAGTGATTGTTTGTAAATGAAGCCTTGACCAATATCTAATATTTCGTAGTAGAGAAGTGCGGAGATAGGAAAAAAGGCAATGTACGTAGTTATGGTTATTACATCTAATTCTTTGTTTCTGTTACACTTATTTTCATTACTTAAGATTTCATATCTGTCCTCTCTAACAAAGATTTCATATCTGTCCTCTCTAACAAAGAGAGGAGTGATATTATTAGTTTTCAATCTGAAAGTCGTGCCTTTTAATAATAACAATAAAATAATAATAAGATATTAGATAATTATTAAATAATAATAATAATCATCATCATCCTTGGAGCCCCTGGTGGCACAGTGGGTTAAACCCTTGTGCCGGCAGGACTGAAGAACAACAGGTCATAAGTTTGAATCCGGGGAGAGCGCGAATGAGCAAACAAACCAATCAAGCAATGAGTAAAACAACATCAAATTAACATATAATGGCTAACCCAGAGAATAAGTACTGAAATAAACATAAAATATCTATTCATCTTGTATTTTCTCATATTGTTCTTTCTTCTTTTGCAGCCTTTGTCTCTCAAAATTAACCTCAATTATTCTTGCCAGATTGTTTTCTTTTAGATCCTTCGTTGTTGCCAGCATTGTATTGCATTTGCACAGAACCGCCCAAGAGAGCTGTTTTGAGTGGTCAGGGGAGTATTAAACCCTGCCCAGTCTGGAACCCCTGACCAATCAGCAGCTCGTTGTGAAGAATTTTCCAGGTTCTTTGCAGATAAAGTCGCTCAGATCCTTTCCGATATTTATACCAGTGTTAATGCAGTCCCTGTGGAAGTAACTGAGGTATTTGTTTGTCATAGTTCAATGGATTCCTTCCAACTTATTCAGCCTGAAGACATGGACAAGATCTTGGGAGGAATGAGAGCGACTGCTTGTTCTCTGGACCCTTGCTCATCCTGGCTTATTAAATCAGCCGGAGGTGTGGGGAACGGGGACTGGCAGAGTGGGTGAAGGTGCTGGTTAATGCCTCCCTGACTCAGGGCATAATGCCAGATAGCTTCAGGGAGGCCATAGTAAGACCCTTACTAAAAGAAACTGGCACTGGATCCCACTCAACTGAGTATTTATTGGCCAGTTTCAAACCTCCCCTTCCTGGGCGAGGTTCTAGAGAAGGTGGTGGCTTCACAACTCCAAAGTTTCTTGGATGAAACTGATTAACTGGATCCATCTTAAACTGGTTTCAGGCCTGGCTACGGGACAGAGATGGCACTGGTCGCCTTGGTGGATGATCTATAAAGAGAACTAGACAGGAGAAGTGTGCCCCTGCTGGTTCTCCTGGACCTCACAGTTGCTTTTGATACCATTGAACATGGTATCCTTCTGGGGTGGCTCTCTGGGATGGGACTTGGGGGCACTGTCCTGCAGTGGCTCCAGTCCTTCTTGGAGGGCCATACCCAGATGGTGGAGCTGGGGGACTCCTGTTCGACTCCCTGGCCGGTCGCCAGTGGGTTCCCTCAGGGTTCAGTTCTGTCTCCATGCTGTTTACCATTTACATGAAACCGTTCGAAGAGATTATCTGGAGTTTTGGAGTTTGGTGTCAAATTTACACTGTTGACACCCAACTCTATTACTCCTTTCCACCCAATGCCAAGGATGCCATTCTGCCCCTAAACTGGTGTGTGTGTGGATGAGGGCTAATAAGTTGAAGGTAAATCCAGAACAAACAGAGGTGCTCCTGGTCAGTCTGAATGCAGACCAGGGTGTGGGATTACAGCCTGAGTTGGACGGGGTCACACTCCCCCTGAAGACACAGGTTCGCAGTCTGGGGGTGATCCTGGACTCATTGCTAACCCTGGAACCTCAGGTGTTGGCGATGGCTAGGAGTGCCTTCGTACAACTAAAACTTGTGCACCAGCTGCTCCCATACCTTGAGATGGCAGTTCTGGCCATGGTAGTCTATGCCTTGTTACCTTCCCGTTTGGACTACTGCAGCGCTCTCTACGTGGGGCTGCCTTTGGAAGCTGCAACTAGTTTGGAAGCTGCAACTAGTTCAGAGATTGGGAGCCAGGTTACTAACTGGGGCTCCATAAAGGGAGAGATCCACTCCCAAGTTACGGCAGCTCCACTGGCTGCTGGTCTGCTTCTGGGCTAAATACAGTGCTGGTCATTATCTATAAAGCCCTAAATGGTTCAGGCCCAGACTACCATATATATTTGAGTATAAGCCAAATTTTTCAGCCCCTCGGCTTATACTTGAGTCAAAGTTATTTATTATTTTACTCTGTTGTTGTTGTTGTTGTTGTTGTTATTATTATTATTAAATTTATTATTTTACTATATTATTATTATATTTACATTATTTTACTCTATTATTTTATTACATTTATTTTACTCTATTATTGTTATTATTAAATGTATTATGTTACTCTATTATTATTATTACATTCACATTATTTTTACTCTATTATTTTTATTACATTTATTATTTTATTCTCTTTAGTGTTATTGGAATGATACTTAAGCACATTTACATTGAAAAAGTTAGAAAAATGGTTTAATCAGAGTTTGACAGTTTTATCTTAAATTATAGTTTTATGTAAATATTCAAAAACATTTAACCTATTGATGCCTCAATTAATGTAATTTTATTGGTATCTATTCRTAATTTGAAATTTACCAGTAGCTGCTGCATTTCCCTCCCTCAGCTTACACTWGAGTCAATACATTTTCCCAGTTTTTAATGGTAAAATTAGGTGTCTRGGCTTATATTCGGMTTGGCTTATACTCAAGTATAGACGGTATTTGAAAAACTGCATCTTTGAGTACAAGCCAGCATGAGCACTGCAGACTGAGGAGGAGGCCCTCCTCTCGGTCCCACCTTCATCTCAAGTGCGGCTGGTGGGAACGAGAGGGGGGCCTTCTCAGTGGCCYCTCCCTGKCTCTGGAACTCCCTCTCTAAAGAACTAAAAATGGACCCCTCTCTCCTCTCCTTTAAAAAGCTTTTAAAGACCAATATGTGTAATCTAGCCTYTGGAGAGGAGGAGGATTAGCATCTTTCATACATATTCTCACTCTGATATCAGATACTTCCTTAGACTGCTAACGCGATATATTATATTGTGCTTTTAATGTATAGTATTTTAATTGGTCTGATTCCTTGTTCTTCTTATGTTTATTTGGCTTAACTCTTCACTTAGGTTGTTTATAAGTTATATTGAGTTATTTGATTTTTTGTTTAGCTTTCTTTGTTGCTTACCTGTTATTTGGCATTTAATATTTGCCATTTTTGTTATTTCTCTCGGGGAGAGAGGGTGGGTTATAAATAAAGTATTATTATTATTATCTTTATATAATTCTAATTCTAATTATTACCTAAGGAATCTAAAAGTTCAAGATAGTCCATTAGTAAGTTAATATTGTGTGAACAAAATTGGCTATGTATCATTATCATTATTCTCCCTTGAACAGCATATCAATTTCTATGTCCTTAGTTTCTAGTCTATTTAAGAAGTGTTAAATCAGCCTGTTTCAATATCTCTTAAGTGTGAGGTAGATGTATTACACAAATGTGTATTTTTATATAAACATTCCAGATCTAATTAAAAAGGTGTTGTTCCAACCATTGTCCAGAGTTCTTAAATGTAGGGATAACAGATAATACATAATGCATATTTTTTTTGATCAACAAATCCTGATACAATTATCTTCTTCCAAGGGCCCTTCCACCCAAAATACCACGGCAGAAAATCCCACAATATCTGCTTTCAGCTGAGTCCATACTGCCATATTTTATATTTTTATTTATCGTTTCAGAAGCGAACTGAGGGTACTGTTGTAATGTATTTAGAAACACAAGCAAAGTTTAAAAACTTGGCATTATACTAAATGTCCTTTGACCAGAAGCTGGCCACTGGGAGTGCCTCTGGTGTTGCTGTAAGAAGGTTCACTATTGTGTATGTGGCAGGGCTCAGGCTGCACTGTAGTCAGTGGTCTGTGGTTTGCTCTTCTCCACACTTGTATGTCGTGGACCCATTTCTTAAGGTTAGCTCTGCATCTCATGGTGGCAGAGCTCAGCCTGTTCAGTACCTTCCAAGTCACCCAGTTTTCGGTGTCCTCAGGAGGGAGTTTCTCATCCGGTCTCAGCCACTGATTGAGGGTTTTCAGCTGCCACTTTTGGACTCTTGCTTGCTGAGGTGTTCCTGCAAGTATCACTGTAGATCTTAGGAAACTATTTCTTGATTTAAGATGTTGGCATTCTGGCTGTTATGTGAACAGAGGATAGGCCGGAGATGTCAATGCCTTGGTCCTTTCATTACAGGCTGGTACTTCCCGATGAATGTCAGGTAGTGCAATACTGGCCAAACAGTATAATTTCTCCAGCAATGTAGGGCGTAGACATCCTTTCTCAATAAGAGCCACATCCACTGTTTTAACGTAGTGAGATGTATTCCACTGGGCATGCATACTCAGCAGCAGAGTAGCAAAGCACAAGGGCCGATGTATTCACTGGGATTCCTTCTCAGTTAATCCTCAGAGCTCAAGATGCTTGTCTGTTCTTAAGGTGAAAAACGAATGTCTGCATTTTAGATGGATCAGCTGGTTTTCCCTGTAATAGGCACCTAAAGCTTCAGAGAGCTTCTGTTCAACCATTTCAAAGCTCCCTACTTCAGCAGTGATGGCAGGATCATCAGTATAGATGAAACTCTCTGTCCTTCTGGCAGTGGCAGATCATTTGTGTAAATGTTAAACATTGATGGAGAAGCACGCTTCCCTGAGGCAGGCCATTCTTCTGTTCTCACCATCTGCTTCTCTGGCCCTGGAACTCAACAAAAGAGCTCCTGTTTTGTAGCAGATTTCCTATGAAGTGGGTGAAGTGATAATCCTTTATGATATATTTTTTTCTCAGGAGGAGTTGATGATTTACAGTATTACAAGCTGCTGACAGGTCTATGAAGACCGCCATGTATCCCAGTTCAATGCAGAAAATGTGTGATTTTATTAAGTTTAGTTTTGTGTAAAGTTCCCATTCTTCTTGAATTTTTTTTAGCCACAAACATTTCTGCACACAAGCTCCGTTTCCAGGCAGTTTTTAGTGCAACATTTGCAGGGTTTTTACGCCTCCCCTCCCATTAATTACTTGGTTGGTGCCAAGTGTTGGCTCCAAACAGATAATTTGATGAGGTCCATTGTTGGAGGAGTTGAGGGTACTCTTAGGTTGCAGGTGAACTATACATTGTTCTTGTTATCCATTTTACTGGCTCTTCTAGTTGCCATCTGGAAATGAAGTCTTGTTTTCCTCTTGAATATCTCAACTGCATTTCTAAGGATCCTTAACAATTTCTATCACTTGATTCATATTCAAAAACCAGTAATTGGAAGATTGTCTCCATCTTTACTGTATACCTTTTGGTTTTCCCGTAGACTCTCCAGCAGCAAGAATGCAAGCTTCTCTACAGTCGTAAAGAGGGCCAGCGCCAGGAGAATAAGAACAAAAACCGTTACAAAAATATCCTGCCCTGTGAGTACTGTTTCATCCACATTTCTGTCTTTGAACTTTGTCTTCCCTAGTCTGGAGTCCTCCATCGGGTATAAAGTGTGGTATAAATATAAATAAATAAGTAATCGTAATAATACATTCTAATATTAATAAAGATACATAGCCACTTTGAGTCTCCTTTGGGAGAGCTAAAGTGGGGTATAAATGAATAATAATCATAATAATCATAATAATAAATTCTAATATTAATAATAGATACATAGCTGTCCTGATTCTCCTTCAGGAGAGATCAAGCGGGGTATAAATAAATAAATATTTATTTAATTATCGTGTCAGAAGCAAACCAAGGGTACAGTTGTAATGTATTTAAAAAGTTTAAAAACTTGGCATTATACTAAATGTCCTTTGACCAGTAGCTGGCTACTTGGAGTGCCTCTGGTGTTTCTGTAAGAAGGTCTTCCATTGTGCATGTGGCATGGCTCAGACTGCATTGTAATAGATGGTCTCTGCTTTGTTCTTTTATTTATTTATTTATTTATACGCTTGTATACCGCTAATATCTCAGCCTAAGTCGGCGACTCATTGCGGTTTACAACACTTAAAAAAACATATTCAGTTTAAAAGCATAAAACACATATACAATACAAATTATTGGGCCACCAATAATAATCCCATGCATCTCATAACTGGAATCGCAGTCCAAAATTCATCGTCCATGATTACCAATCCTTTAGTCATCAAAATTCGTTGCAACGGATTAACCGAATGCTTGTTTAAACATCCATGTCTTCAATCTATTCCGAAACACCATCAGCGAGGGGGCTGATCGTACCTCTATGGGGAGGGCGTTCCAAAGCCGAGGGGCCACCACAGAAAAGGCCCTGTCTCTCGTCCCCGCCAGCCGCACCTGTGAAGCCGGTGGGATAGAGAGCAGGGACTCCCCAGAAGATCTTAGGGTCCTGGTGGGCTGATAGGCCGAGATACGTTCGGATAGATAAGTTGGGCCAGAACCGTTTAGGGCTTTAAAGGCCAACGCCAGCACTTTGAATTGAGCCCGGTAGCAGATCGGCAGCCAGTGGAGCTGGTGCAGCAGAGGAGTTGTATGCTCCCTGCGCTCCGCTCCTGTTAGTAACATGGCTGCCGCGCGCTGGACTAGCTGGAGCTTCCGGGTTGTCTTCAAGGGCAGCCCCACGTAGAGAGCGTTGCAGTAGTCAAGGCGGGATGTTTTGCCGCACTCGCAATGTCGTGGACTCCACTTTGTGGCTCCATTTCTTAAGGTTGGCTCTGCATCTTGTGGTGACAGAATGCAGTCTGTTCAGTGCCTTCCAAGTCGCCCAGTCTTCTGTGTGCCCAGGAGGGAGTCTCTTATTTGGTATCAGCCATGGGTTGAGGTTCCGGGTTTTAGCCTGCCACTTTTGGACTCTCGTTTGCTGAGGTGTTCCTGCGAGTATCTCTGTAGAGCTTAGAAAACGATTTCTTGATTTAAGGCGTTGGTGCGCTGGCTGATATCTGAACAGAGGATGGGCCGGAGATGTCACTGCCTTGGTTCTTTCATTGTTGACTGCTACTCCCCGGCAGATGTCAGGTGGTGAAATACTGGCTAAGCAGTATAATTTCTCCAGTGATGTGGGGCATTGACATCCTGTGATAATGCGGCATGTTTCATTAAGAGCCACATCCACCATTTTAATGTGGTGAGATGTATTCTACACTGGGCATGCATATTCAGTAGCAGAGTGGCAAAGCGCAAGGGCAGATGTCTTCACTGCATCTGGTTGTGGTTCCCAGGTTGTGCCAGTAAGCTTTTGTATGACATTATTTCTAGCGCCAACTTTGTGCTTGATATTCTAGCAGTGCTTCTTGTAAGTCAGAGCATGACCCAGGTAACTCCCAAGTATTTTGGTGTGCTACAATGCTCCAGTGGGATTTCTTCCCAGGTCATCCTCAGAGCTCAAGATGCTTGTCTGCTCTTAAGGTGAAAAGCATACGTCTGTGTTTTAGATGGATTAGGAATCAACTGGTTCTCTCTGTAATAGACACTAAGCTCACCTAAAGCTTCAGAGAGCTTCTGTTCAACCATTTCAAAGCTCCCTGCTTGAGCGGTGATGGCATGATTGTCAGCGTAGATGAAACTGTCCATTCTGTCAGTGACTGGTCATTTGTGTAAATGTTTAACATTGATGGAATAAGCACATTCCCCTGAGGCAGGCCATTCTTTTGTTTTTGCCATCTGCTTCTTTGGCCATGAGAAGCAGATGGCAACATGAGAGGAGCCTCCCCACCATATTGTAACACATCCAAGCATTCCCTGGGCAACGTCTTCGTAGATGGCTGATTCTCTCACAACCAGAAGTGACTTGCAGCATGAATAAATTATTATTATTAATAATAAATTCTAATATTAAAAATAGATACCTAGCTGCTTTGAGTCTCCTGCGGGAGAGATCAAGCAGAGCATAAATAATAATAATAATAATAATAAGAAGAAGAAGAAGAAGAAGAAGAAATTTTAATATTAATAATAGATACATAGCTGCTTTGAGTCTTCTTTGGGAGAGCTAAAGCAGGGTTTAAATAAATAAATAATCCCCAGCACAGTCCACGGCAATATCAGTAATTAGTCAGTAAAAATTAGTGCAGATGTTTAGTCCTTGACTCCGCTTCTAACGTAGCTCGGCCCAAAAACAGTTCATCATTCTCTGGTTTCAAGCCCGAGTTGAATGCCAGGCGATGAGTCCTCTGTGAAATCTGACCTGCAGGCACCTTATTGCGACGGGGAGAGAGGAGGCCCTGAGCCACCCATTTTGAAAGCAGGCCCCTTTATACTCACTTATCAATCTGAGATGGGAAAGAGCCGATGGCTGTGAGGCTTCTTTGCCCGGATGCTGTTCCGACTTTCCCCGAGGGACTGGCTGAGGGACAGTTGACAAGGCTTGCTGGTGGTGTCACTTTCCTAAGGCGCCCCTTGTGTCTCCTCTTGCCAGTTGACCACACCAGAGTTGTCCTTCACGATGGCGATCCCAATGAGCCGGTGTCTGACTACATCAACGCCAATATTATCATGGTAAGAATACTTTTGTTTGCGCGGGGGGTGGGGGGTGGATTTCTATTGCTCTGTGGGAATATTTGGTGTTTCATTGGCTGCATGGAGTTTGGGGCTGGGTTTTGTAGCCACACTGCATATGTCTTATTTGAAGTGGCAAAAAAAAAAAAAAAAAAAAAAAACCTCATGAAAGAACACAATACAAAATATAAAAAAGAACAATTTTTACCAATATAAATGTACCAGTCTTTCAATGGGAAAAGTGGGCCTGGTTTTGGCCATTGAGACAGTCAAGTTAATTCAGGTTGTTGTTGTTGTGTGCCTTCAAGTCGGGGCGATGATGGGGAGCCTACCTTTTCCACTGCCCTGATCCCCAAGAAGGAAGGAACAAAGAGGAAGGAAGTCAAGAAAGGGAGGGACGCCAGGAGAGAGAGGGCCACTGGAAATGTGAACAGGGGCTGCAGTTGTCCCCTGGGTTGGACTTTGGACATGCTTACCCTAAGCTGAGCTCACCGCCGAGGCTTTGGGCAATCCAAATGCCTGGAGTTGGTTGGCAGAAGGCTTCTGGGAATTGCAGTCCCAATGAAAGCCCTTTTCTGGCCCTCTGAAGGCGACCGGGCCTGCTGATCTCCCTCTCCGCTTGCAGCCAGAGTTCGAGACGAAGTGCAACAACACCAAGCCCAAGAAGAGCTACATTGCCACCCAGGGCTGCCTCCAGAACACTGTGAACGACTTCTGGCGGATGGTGTTCCAGGAAAACTCCCGGGTCATCGTCATGACAACGAAAGAGGTTGAGAGAGGAAAGGTAAAGGGAGAAGTGGGCGCACTGGTGTTCCGTTCCATTAAAAGCACGCGTATTCACTATCTAAATCAGTGGTCCACAACCTTTAAGAGACCGTGTACCACTGAGACAAAAATTGAATACATCGTGGACCATCAAGATCAATCAACCCCTTTCCCCACCACCCAGACAAAAATACATTTTAATAGTGTTTAAATTACTAGAATGTCTTAATCATATTAACATTCACATAAACATTTTTTATTTGGTGATATAAAGACAAAACACCACAATGAGATGTAATGAAAAATATGAATGTGATTTTTAAGTTTGCATTTCTTTTACTAGGTAGGGAATCCTTGAATCGATACTATTGCTCAGTGCCATGCATATGTCATGGCATTGAGTAATAGTAGACTGGATCTTGATAGTAGACTCCTAGACTGGCTGGTTCTTGGGCTTCAACATCCAGCTTGGAAGAATGGGCTCCCAAGAGCTCTTCCATTGGCTCAGCCCAAGGGAGAAAGCACGCCCACATGCTTTCTTCCTTTCCCTTGCTTCCTTACGAGAAGCCAGTGATAGAGCTTCCCTCGGCCCCCACCTTCACTGAACGGCAGACTTTGAGTGCCTCCTCCTCCTTGCAATCCAGCCTGCGAATGGGGCTTCCTTCCTTGCCTCAAAAGCAGGTAAGGAATGAAGGATTCAGTGTCACCATTCCTGCTCCCTCCCTTTGCTCAGTGTTGCACCCTTCTTGACCTGCGCTTGAGGAGACTACTACCAGAGTCCCATTTGCAATCTCCTTGAAACCCAGCCCCCTGCCACCTGAGTCTGCAAATGGGTCTCCTGGAACAGCAGTTTCAAGCCCAGGCAAGGAAGGAAGGATCCACACTTCAATTCTTGCCCCCTTCCTTTACCCAGTGTTGGATCCTTCCTTGCAAACCCAGATGGCAGGAGGCTGAGTTGCAAGGAGGAGACTGCAGACGGTTCTCTGGCAGTAGTAGCCTCCTCAAGAGCAGAGAAAGGAGGAAGGAAACAAAATTGGGCAAAAAGGGAGGAGGGGGTTGTATCTTTAATTCCTTACCTGCTGTTTTGGCAAGGAAGGAAGCCCTGTTCATAGACTGGATTGCAAGAAGGAGGAGGCAGTTGAAGCCCTCAGGAAGTGAAGACGGGGGCCAGGGATAGCTCCATCATCACTGGCTCCTCTTGAAGAAGCAATAGAAGGGGGCACGTAGGTGCTGTTGCCTCCCTTTGGCTGGGCCAGGGGAGAGGAACACTCTAGGCCCGAGTGCTGACAGGAGCCAGGGCTCTGGGATGAAGGAGAAGGGGGGGGGCGGGAGGCAGGGGGGGCAAGAGAAAGGTGTGTGTGTGTGTGTGTTTTTCGGCGGGGGGGGGGGGGGTTATACCTGCGAGGCCACTTCCTCAACATGCTGTGCCGACTCAGGTTTTCTGGGAAAGACCCCCATGGACCACGTCTCTGTTTCTTGTGGACCACCTGTGGTCCATGGACCACTGGTTGGGAACCACTGATCTAAATATAGGATTCTGTCAAGAAATGGCTGATTACCCAAGTTTGTCATCTACAGGCTTGCTGTCTCACTTCTCCAGCTCGCTTGCATCTTTGCCTTGCCCTCTGAGAAGGCCCCCCTTAGAACCTCTCCATGGCAATGTTCTAGAGCAGTGGTGTCCAACTTGTAGCCCTCCAGGTGGTTGGGACTTCGGCTCCCAGAATTCCTGGCCATTGGACACACTTGGCTAGGGCCTCTAGCAGTTGGACATCTCTGCTCTAGAGGGTCTCCTTGCTGACATTCTAGACCTCTTCCACTTTTCCTCTCTCTCTGATGTCGCTTTTCGAACTGTATACTTCCCTTATGTGCCTGCATCTGAGTACTGCACACATACATACCCGTGTATGCATTTTGGGGGCCCTACCACCACATGGGGCTTGATTTTTTTACATTGAAACCCTGTCAGTATTTTAAGTTGGATCATGAAGGCTCTGTGGGCCACGTTTCGTCCAGGTCCACCAAACCACGGAGGCGCTTTCGCAAAACAAACATCAATCCATACTTTTCCATCACATCTGGAGATGGAAATGGGAAGAACGTGCAGTCTTGCTGTGGGACTTTGGGTGCCAACTCTTGCCGTTTGGCACCCAAACCTTGGGTTTCTGTCTCTGACAGCTTCTCGAACCGCACATGGTGTTAAGTGGCAAACTAATGTTTAATTGCGTCAAACTCGCTCAATTTTGCTCTCTCCCCAAAGCCATGTGTTTTTCTGGAAGCTGTGGGTTCTTTTTACACCTGGCGTGTGTTTTTCACACAAACATTTCTGCACACAAGCTCTGTTTCCAGGCAGTCTTTAGTGCAACATTTGCGGGGGTTTTGCACCTCTCCTCCCATTGTTGGCTCCAAACAGATAATTTGGGGAGTGAGGTCCATCGTTGGAGGAGTTGAGAGTGCTTTTAGGTTGCAGGTGAACTATACATCCCAGGACCTACAGTTCCTATAAATGATAGTGAATTCACCCCAAATCTCTCTTGTATGTTCAGATGCTGAACAATTCCTCTGTTTGCTGTGTGCCATAGAAAAGAATAGGAAAGGGTTCAGGGTGAGATCCATTGCAGGCAGAACTACAACTTCCATCATACTGAGTCAATCCCCCAGCCCTCTCCAGTATGTTCAGTTGCTGATCAATTCCACTCTGTTTGCTGTGCCCCACAGAAAAGAGTAGGAAAGGGTTATGGGAGATGCAGTGGGCGGGATCATGCAAATTTCACAAAAAGGGAAGGAGTCAGAAACACTGGGATATCTGTGGTGGAGGAAACACATCAAATCTAGTCTGAAATTGTCCCCATATGAAAGCCTTCACTTGGGTGGTGGGCAGTGTGGTGTTTATAGAAGACGCTTACAGGGCTCTTGGACATGTTCATGGTGCTCACTGTAACTTGCAGTGTCATTGGAGGGAGAGCCATTGGTAATTTTCACTTTTATTATGTATATAGATGTGAATGTGTGTTTATACATTATTTGTTATTTATAAAGTACATGTTCTTATTTTAAAACATGTAACTCAAAAAATGGGAGAGCCTCGGGGGGGGGGGGGGCAGAATAGATTAATAGCATTTCAATTTAAAAATTTGCTTTGTGAGAAGAGGGATTTGACTTAATAGCTCGGTCACGGAACAAATTCAACTATTAACTCAAGATATCACTATATTGGAAAAGAGGCCACGTGCATGAGCTTGTTTTCCGCCACTCTAGAGACTAGGACACAATGGAGCCATGGGTTCCAATGGCAGGAAAAGAGATACCTCCTAAACATGAAGAAGAACTTCCTGATGGTAAAAGCTGTTTGTGCATGGAGTTGGTACAGGCAACTTTGTACCATTTTGAGCCATCTTCCCTGCCTGAGGTTCTCTGCCACCCCTGCTGCTGGGCGCTCCATTCCTAATGGGTTCTCCCTTCCCAATGGGTGCTCCCTTCCCAATGCATGCCCCATTTCTAATGGGTGTTCTGATCCCAATGGGTGCTCCATTTCCAATGGGTGCTCTGTTTTTGGGAAACCCAGGGCCTTGAGGAGTCCCTGTGCCACTCTCCCTTCCCTCCATTGGCGCAAGACTGATTCCCCCATCCCTCAGTCTTCTCCGCGTTGCTCTTTCCCAGCGTGCGCTCGCTCCACCGCTGCTCTCTTCTGCACAAGGCCCCGAGCAGCAACAGCAGAGTGGCTGCGCATCACAATACAAAAAATGAAAGGAAAGGGATAGCGGAGGAGGGAGGACTGCTCTTCCAGAGATCTGGCATTGAGAGGGAGCCGCTTTCCCTCGGCCTTCTCTTCCTCCCCGAAGCTTGGCAGACGGGGACACCCTCCTCCTCCCTTCCCTGCCAGCGGAACCTCGGCGATGTAGCATTGCGGCCTTGCGGGAGGCGGCGGGAGGTCCTGGTTTTGTCAACATTTCGGGGGACCATCTGTTCATCTTGCTCTGGAATGCACTGCTCATCTTGCCGGGAAGCCTTCCCGTTGGTGCTTGGCTCCTGCCATTACTCCTCGGCTCGCGTGGGGTGTGTGCTTCCCCAGAAATCTCTGGTGTTGATTAAACATGGATTGGTGCGAGAGAGAGAGAGAGAGAGAGAGAGAGAGAGGAAACTAAGAGAGGAGGAAGCCTTCCCTACCTGATTCTGGAAGAGGCCTAGAGCCAGTGCATGGAGCAGCCAACATAGGAGGAGGGTGGGCAGCAGTCCTGTCGGGATTTGGACCTTTCTTGGTTCAATACTACCACCAATGTTGGCCCCGGGTGGCATTTGGATGGGCACATGTTTTACAAATCTTTTTAAATATGGGGTGGAAACCACAAAAATGGCCCTGGCAGGAAACTTGAGGTACCCCTCCCCCCCGGCAAGCATTTGGATATTTGGATGTGCTGTGGGCTTCGCCTCATGTAAGCCGCACCGAGTCCCTTGGGGAGATGGTAGCAGGGTACAAATAAAGTATTATTATTATTATTATTATTATTATTATTATTATTATTATTATTATTATCTGGCTTGAGAGCCCTTGGCAGATCGGCAATGCTGGGCACAGTAATCCAAACCACCTGGAGGGTAGCAATGATAGTAACTGTGATTTTTTTTTAAATACCGGTGATATTTAACTCTGTTTCCATGTTTGTATATTTGTAGGTTTTAAGCTGTACTGAAAGGCTTTTTAATGTACGCCTCTGTGTGTCTCCTTGCTGGGGTATAAATAAACATGGCGGTACTTTGCTTGTGCTTTTCCTGCATGGCAGGGGGTTGGACTAGATGGGCCATGAGGTCTCTTCCAACTATTGTTCTACGATTCCATGATTAATAATAATAATAATAATAATAATAATAACAACAACAACAACAACAATAATCGTAATAATAATAATATGTCTGGGTAGGCAATGCACTGCCCTCCACTTCAAGTTGTATTACAATTCTTATTCCTCACCACCACATTGTGCTGGCCAGGAAGCTACTGGGTAGGCAACTTGTTGCCCTCTTGATGTTTTGGGTCCCGGAGTGGCTTCGATGGTTTCTATGGCACGGATTTAAGAAGAGTATGTTTTTTAAGAAACTCATTATCTGCCCTTTTGCTTTTTCTCTTCTTTCCAGAGTAAATGTGTGAAGTACTGGCCGGACGAACATGCGCTCAAGGAATACGGAGTGATGCGCGTCCGGAATGTCAAGGAGAGTGCGGCCCATGACTACACATTGCGGGAGCTCAAGCTCTCCAAGGTTGGACAGGTGGGTTAGCGTGCCCATTTGCTTGGCTTGGCATCCTTTACATACCACTAGGATTATCTGGAAGCACCATCAGGATGAAGGTCCGTTGCATAATTACGAACATGAATGTAACAGCAGAAGCAATGTTGATTTGGGACTCTGTTTTGGGAGGGAGCAGAGGGAGAGAAACACATAATTAGCAACTGTCAATTAAAGACAATATATTAAACCTGGTGAGTGGGGAACTTTTCATTCCCAAAATATTACTGAACTCCAGCTCCCAGGATTTCCCCTTATTGGCTAACCTGGCTAGCACTTCTGGGAGCTGAGGTCCAATGGTTCTGCCAAGGGCTAAAGATCCCCCATCCTGACTTGGAGACATTGAATGGCTCTAGTATCACCAGTGAAAATCCTGTGAAGCAGTCCTCCGCTTTGGAAGGTTTGCCTCAGCAGGTAGTCAACTCTCCAAACCAAGATTGTATGGTCATCTGTTGGGAGGGCTTTGACTGTGTCTTCCTGCCTGGAAGAAAAGGCTTGGACTCAACAGCCCTTGGGCTCCCTTCTGACTCTAGCCTTTTGTGATTCCAGGGCAACACAGAGCGAACGGTGTGGCAGTACCATTTCCGAACCTGGCCTGACCACGGCGTCCCCAGCGATCCGGGTGGCGTTCTCGACTTCCTGGAAGAAGTTCATCACAAGCAAGAGGGCATTGCCGACGCTGGCCCCGTTGTGGTCCATTGCAGGTACTGCCGTGCCCCAAGCGCACCTCCAGCGTAACATGTTACAAGAAGCACAAATCCCTATGCTACATGTGAGTTTTTCCCCCCTCTCCCCTCTCCTTGACAGTGCCGGCATCGGACGCACTGGAACATTCATTGTGATCGATATCCTCATCGACATAATCCGAGAGAAAGGTCAGTTCCCTTTGCTTTCCCGCTGCTTTCACTCCAGACCTCAGCAAAGCATCACCGTTGGTTTTCAGGAGCCCTGGCCTGCTGTGGATGATGGACACTGCACTCCCCATGTATTGCAGCACTTCCGAGCCATTACTGATGTTATCATTACCAGGCCATACCCCATCTTTTCTTCAGTTGGGGGGGGGGGGGCAATTGATGATATCTTCGGGAAGGGGTGTGGCCTGCTAGGAACATCAGAAGACCAGATTCAGTGCCAGGGTGCTAGCTGCAATGCCCTACTGCTGCAGCATATGCAGCCAGGATTTTACCACTGGATTAAACAGGCAAGGGTTGGAACCTGGGGCAGGATAATCTCTGGAACGAGCCTCTATCCAATATGGCTGTCTCTTGTCCCTATATCCCATGATACCCAGTGTTTTTCTCTTCCTGGCCCCCTTTGCCCAGGTGTGGACTGCGACATCGACGTCCCCAAGACCATCCAAATGGTCCGCTCCCAACGCTCAGGGATGGTGCAGACAGAGGCCCAGTATCGGTTCATCTACATGGCGGTGCAGCACTACATCGAGACGTTACAGCGCCGGATCGAGGAAGAACAGGTATGGTGCTTCTCAGGCCTTGAAATGGGGGACAGGTTTAGAGGAGACGCACATCCAGGAAGCAAGACCTGTTCCAAGGGTGTTGCGTGACAATATTAACAGCCTTGTGGCTGGTTCTTGAGGTTGGGGGCACCTTTCCAGACCGGGCCAGGCTGTGTCACCTGACTTTGTCCTCTTTCTTCCAGAAGAGCAAGCGGAAAGGGCACGAGTACACCAACATTAAGTACTCGCTTGCGGACCAGGCCGGCGGAGACCAGAGCCCCCTCCCGCCGTGTACACCCACCCCGACCTGCCCGGAGTACGTAACTGGGTGGCATTTGCAGGGAGTCCAGACCAGCCAAAGACTCTCTTGTTTGGCTCTTTAGTACCTTTGGGCTGACTTGAAAATCCTTGGTTCTTGTTTTTGACAGGATGAGAGAAGATAATGCCATGCGCGTCTATGAGAATGTTGGCCTGATGCAGCAGCAGAAGAGCTTCAGATGAGACAAAAGGAAAGGGCTTCCTTGCGGGGAAAGTGAGTTACCATTTTTCCTCGCATAATAGTCGCACTCCCATTTTCTGGGTGGAAAAGGAGTATTTTTGGGTTCTTCACACAATAGTTGCAGAGCTGTTCGGGGCTGATTTTCCCTTCCTTCATTCTCCAAAGGCAAGGCAGTTTAAAAAAAATGAAATGGAAGTCTCTGGAGCTCTGCTCTCCCCTCCTTCTGCCTTTCTCCAAATGACATGCCTCCCGGGAGTTTCATTCCTAAAAACACTCTCTCTTCTATCCTGTTACAGATTTTGAGATCCAGTTGTCATTTTTTTTTCAATACGAAAGTGAAGCGGAGCGACTTGGGACGCATCCCCACAACGAGTGGACTTTTGACAGCGACGTAGAGCTTCCTTTTATTTATGGTGTTTTAACCCTTCCGTAATCCGCAGAACTCGAGACCATCCTTTTTTCCGAAAACTTTTTTTTTTGTCTCCGGAACGGCTGGTGTCCATAATTACCGATAAGCTTTGCTTTCCATTTTCAGACACAAAGTGCAGACCAATACTCTTGTACTTGAAAGTTTTGATTTGCCCCCTGGATTTCAAGGTTTCCTGACCTTTTTTCAAATGAGTTTTTTTTTTAAAACCTTGCCCTTTAAAGCTTGTTCCATACGAGAGCTTCAGGGAGCAAGCTGGTTGTCTCGATCCAACCGTTGTCCTCCGTTTCTCCCTTGGCTCTGTTTTGAGGGAATTGGCAATGACCGCTCAGTTTCAATCCAGCTTCTCGTCCTCATGGCGTTCCATGTTTGGACTATTTCCCCCCCCCCCCCCAGGTGTTTTTTGTTGTCCTAGAACTTCCAGTGATGCGGTTTTTGCACCCGATTGAAATCAAAAAAAATTTCTAACAATCTTCCCAGCAATAGTGGGTGTCAGAGCCAGTTGCTTGTGAGGAATTCAAATGATGTTTCTTACATTGATTCAAGGGCTTGGGAGGGGAAGGAGCACTCAGCATCCAGGGCCTCCTTTGGGGATGACTGGGATGGGATGGGGAGGGTACAAAATGGGGGCCTCTTCTGTATGTCACTTCCTCTGCCTGCCAGCCACCTATATACACTCTTCTTTTGGGACCTGCTGGCAAGTGACCCAGGGGCCTTCAGGGTCGAGCCTTGGGTCGGTGGAAGTGGCCTGTGCATCCTTCCTGGTGCCGGAAGGGCATTCTTTCCTCACCTCACCTGCGGTAGCCAATGCTCTTTTGCCGCACCCTCCCTTCTGCCAGACTTTCTCTCTCAACGCTCTGCCTTTTTTTGAAGTGCCTTCTTTCCCACTGAGCCGGCATGGCTTGGTTGGGTCTTTCCTTCCTTGCGGCTTCCATTGGAGAGGTGTCCTAACGCTTCCGTGGGATGAGCCCCTTGTCGGGGTGGAAGTGTTAGAGGCATAGCTTTCCCTGCAAAAACTTTACCGTTTGCTTAAGGGCTCTGCATGTGTCATATTCGTCGTACCTGTGTCCTGCTGAGATCCAGGCAGCTGGGACAACGCAATGTTTCTGCAGCTGATCCAGACCTTTGCCCATGAGTTGCTAATTCCTATAAACTCACATCAACAAGAGAGTCTCTGCCGTTGTTGTTCAGTATAGAAGCTGGCTGCTTAGATCTCTCTCTCTCTCTTTCTCTTCCAGGAATCAGAGATGTAACTCTTTACACAGTGCCATTAGAATTAGCGAGCTTTCCCTTGCTGCCTGGGAAAGCAGTTCCTAGAGAAGTTGTACCCTGAAGCCTAGAACACATAAAACATAAGGTTGCAATTTCTCTTATGACATTGATTTGGCCATAGTTTTGCTTTGTGAGCTTCAGGGAGTGGGAAGGCCTGGGTGGAGGCCTTGCGCTCCCTGGGACTCACGTTTCCCCATTATATCAGGGCATTGGGAAGCCCTGGCCCTGGTTTGCCCACTTGCCTATCTTAAGGACTAGAACCTTGTCCTGGAAGTTGAATTCTGCCCCTTCGCCTACGTTGTTCTGAACTGCAGCATGTGCATAGCCCAGTGGGAGGAAGGGAGATCTTTGGTCTTTGCTGCCCCTTTCTTTGGCTTCCCTTTTTGGTCGTGTGTCTTGTCTTCAACCATGGAACTCCTGTCTTTGTGTCTTTTGCCTCAGCCTCATGGTCCAGCACCCATGTTGGCCTGGTTGGGGCCCTTTTTTGCCTTCCTTGCACCTCCTGCAATCACAGAGGGCTTATGCAAAGCTTGGCAGCGGTTGCGGCTGATAAGCGAGCACTTCCATTTGGGATGGGGACAGCCCAAGGAGACCTCCAGTTAGGGACAATGTTGGCCAGAGCGGAAGTGCCTCTTGCTTGGAGCAGACAACGGTGACCGTGTCAATATTGGCCATTTCATTCTTTTGGTTGTCTGCCCTGCCTGAGGTGGAAGGCTTGGGCATCTTGACTGATGTGTTATTCACAATGAGAGGAAAAGCCATGGAGTCAAAATTTGTACAGGGTTTGGTGGAAGTGTTCCAGTGGATTGGGGACGTGCCAAACAGTGCTGCTCCCTGTGGCACAGACTGGGAAATGGCTTCCATCGAGGTCCATGTTGCCTCCCCATCTTTCCAGTGCTGGACTGGGGGGAAAGTAGGTGTTTTGAAGGAAGAGTGACGGCAGTGCGGTGGTGTTGGGTAGCGAAACTTGGCATGTTTGTGAGATGGGGAGAGGAAGGGCCAGGCCAGGTCTTCTTGCAGGAGTGCTTTATGCCTTAAATTGGGGAGGGGGGAGAAGCTCAAGCGAGACTAGTCTTTTACAAAGCCTTGCCATTTCCATTCTCCCCCCACCCCACACACAAATTCCCAAAGGGCCACTCCAGTTTCATGGCTTCTCAATGGAGGAGATAGAATGGGAAGGATAGGAGTTTTTAGCAGAGGAACCAAGGAAGGAAATTCAATGAAGGAGGGAACGCTGCCTTTAGCATTGGCCTGGGTAGGATTGGTTTGGATTCATTACCTGCGTCCTCTCCTCATGGTGCGTTGAAGGCTGAAATGTGGGGCCTCGGATGTGTGCTGAACCCAGAAGAGCGTGTAATAAAGGAATGTCCTTTTTGAAACTTGAAACAGAACTACCCGTCTTGATGATTGTGTGAGGAAACGGACATGAGCGAAATGCTTGGGCCTTGCTGCGAACCCAAAGCAGACGAGTTCGGCGTCCGTCTTCCTCCCTCCCTCCCTCCCTTCCTTAAAGCGATCTCTTGACTTTTGTATTCTTATCTCCAGCTGAATGTCAATGGCACAAGGAGGCATCTGGCCCCTTGGTTTGGACTGTAGTTCACAGGGATGTGTATGTCTTAAAGCCTGGCATCCATTCTCTGTCTATGTTTGTGGACAAAGGAAAGGGAGAGGAGTTGACTTGGCTCAAAGAGAAAGCTTGGTTTTCTTTTTCTGTCGGGGAAGGCCTTCCCTCTTGAGCTGGGTTTGTGCCATGCTCTTGGCACTCTCTTTTTCTTGGACAGGAAGGGGCAAAACCTGAAATGGAGAACCTTTTGCTCCTCTTCTCGGCGGCTGAGAAAATCGAGTCGCTTCACTGCTCCCCTCTTTCCTTCTGCTTTTGGGGACAGGTTTTTGGAATGACCCTGGGGATTCTTGGTACCCACATCTTCCTAGTTGGGATGCCCGTTGCAGGAGGGATGGATTTACTCCAGTCCGTAGCAGCTGGCACCTCAAATATTTCCCAATTTCTCATGTTGAAGGAATGAGGAGAAGCTTGGGATGCCCAGTGCGCCAGGTCGAGGGCACAGGTGGCATCCGTCAGCATTGGCCGGAGGGGCATCGCTTACAGAATGTCTGATCTATCCTGCATTTTTATTTTTTGAAAAACCTTGACCAAATCTTCTGTGATTCCCTCTCTCCTCTGAAACTTGTGTTTTTCAACAATAGCCATGAACTTTCCTAGTGGACTGTTAAGCGGAACTTGAGGGCTAGTAACTTGATGTTATCTTTGAACAAGCCAAATGCTTTCTTGGTCTGTGCGATGAGTTGAAGAGTTGTCATTTTGGCTGGCTTTACACTGTCCAATGGATTCAGTTGGACCCCATTTTCTGAACCTTGGCTCGATGCTCTCCAATCCCGGGAGTTGTCATTGTATACAATCTTTCATCTTCTCTGCCTCACAAAACTACACCTCCCAGGCGTTGGTGGTATCCAATTGCGCCAAAGTCGAGCCAAACGGCTTTCCTTCAACAGTGTCGACACACTCACTGTGTTGTTTTTTCCTCTTCGTTTGGGGTTCTTCCTCCGAGTTGTAATCCGTTCTCACAACGTCACTTTGGGCCTATGTTTCTTAATTTATAAGGTTCCCCCCCTCCTCCACAGCTCTGTCATTTTAGAGCTAAATTTCCCCAAACCTTTGTTCCTTCTTCCCAGCGACTTATGAAGAATCGTGAGGTGGGGTTCCAAAGCACAGCCGTCTCCTTTACTAAGGAAGGCACCCAAAATGTCTTTGATCATTTGTGTTTCATTTTTTAAAAAAAAATGTGAATAATGTCTGTGTCCGGGTCCTCTCCGTTCTCTTCGGCTTCTGCGCTGCAAACGCTTGCGCGGGTGAAGGCCCATTGGATCCCAATGTACGAGATTGCCCGGTGTCTCTTGGCTTCTGCCCATATATTCTCGTAGCCCTGCTTTCCTCAACCCGGAGGGCTCCCCATGGGTCAAACTACGTCTCCCAGAAGCCCCGGGAGACGTCGTCTGACCCGTCGAGGGCCCGACTGGGAGGAGAAAGCAACCGTAGACCATCCTTGCCATTGTCGACGTGTGACATTAAAAGGTTTGAAACAAGCCAACATAGATCATATATAGATACAAAAAAAACACAATAAATCTTTTAGTGATTGTCTGTTACCAGCCTGTATTTATGGAGGTGAAATGGCTGCATTGCTGACCATGCTGTGATTTCTTTTCTTTTTTTTAAAAAAAAATGGCTCCAAGGCTTATCAGAGTTAAAAAGCATTATTTGTAAAACGTCACAATGACAAAAAAGGAATTAAAAAAAGATCCATTTTCTTACACCTGTCTCCTGAATGCTCTTTTTAAAAACGCCAAGCCGTTTTTACGCGGTGCATTGGCATACATTCGTCAGTAGTTTCTCTAATTACTGGTCTTTATAGCTGCACAGAATTAGGATCATTTGAGTTGGGATTCAGAAGGATCGAATACAGGACCTTGGTAAGACGGAGGTGCCCATGTTATGCTGGAAGTGTTTCCAACCGTGATGCTTTCTTGGCAAGATGTGTTTAGAGGGGCTTTGCCATGGCTTTCCTCTGAGGCTGAGAGAGCATGGCGTACCCCTCAGCGTGCATTGTTTCCTATGGCCAAATGGGGATTTGACCCTGGTCTCCAGAGTCCGGCACTTAAACCATACAGGTTGGGTGAAGATCTCAGATGGGTGACACCTGGCTTGGAAAGGTAGTTAGGAGTTTTAGGAGACCACAAGATGACCACAAGCCAACAGCGTGATGTGGCAGCGAAAAAGACCAATGTGATTCTAGGCTGCATCAATTGAAGTTGAGGGAAGTCGTAGTCCCATTCTATTCTGCCCCTGAGGGGCCTTTCCCTGCCTCTTAGCCCTTTCCTTTTCCCCCATCAGTGGTCATGGTTCTGCTGGAAAGCAGTGTTTTAGAGCAGGGGTTCTCAAACTGTGCTCCGTGGAGCCCTTAACTTTTTAGAACAACAACTACTACTACAATAACAATCATAATATGCTTGATTTATATTCCGCCCTTCTCCCCTAGGGGACTCAGAGCAGATTACAGCATTTACAGTAGACATAGGCAAACATTCAATGCCTTACAATCATATACAATGAGACACACAAACACAGACAAGGCAAAGGCTTCTCCTTTCATTTCCTACTTCTGGAGGCGGTGCTCATCTTGTGCTCTGGGATGGTGTTTTTCTCCATTTTCAAGCCAAAGAGCCTGCATTGTCACCTCATGGTTGTGTGGCCACCAAGACTGCTTGGAGTGTCTCTTTGCCTTTTCCTGCTGAAGCGGTACCTATTTATCTACTCACATTTTCATATTTTCGAACTGCTAGGTTGACAGGAGCTGGAGCTGACAGACGGGAGCTCACCTTGTCCCTTGTATTTGAACTTTCAACTTTAGGTCTGAAGTTCAGCAGCACAAGGGTTTAACCCATTGTGCCACCGCATTATACAATGTCTAGTTTTCTCCCTGGAAAAAACCATGATGGAATCTCTAGGGAATGCATTACAAGAATTCTTAAAGGAGGGAGTTCTGTGAGCTCCCTCAATATGTTCTGAAAGAGTTATGCCATAATTGGCACACAACTCCATTGCAAACTTAATTAAGGCTCCTTCCTTTCCTGACTTCTTTGGACATGTCCAAAATGAGCTCGCCGAAACACAAAGGAATGATGGAGAGTTCTTGTAATCTTGAAAACTTAGCTTTCCAAAAGAGAGCATTTTCCAGCCAAAGATAACCTCACTGCTTTGGGAACCTTTGGATTTCCCTCTCCATCTTGGCTTCTGTAGTTCCCATGCTTTCAAGCATTGGTTCATCCTTCCATCCATCCTCAGTCCTTTCATTCCCTGCTTTCTTTTATCTGAAGTTGGAGACGGGACCTAAGGATGGAGAGCAGGAGATATAGGATGTATCTTGGAGATGGGACGCAAGAGCAGGAGATATGGGATATATCTTGGAGACAGGACCTAAAAATGGAGAGCAGGAGATATGGGATATAGCTTGGACCAAAGAGCATGAAATATGGGATATAGCTTGGAGATGGGACCTAAGGATGGAGAGCAGGAGATATGGGATATAGCTTGGAGAATGGACCTAAGGATGGAGGGCAGGAAATATTGGATATAGCTTGGAGACGGGACCTACAGATGTAGGGCAGGAGCTATGGGATATATCTTGGAGATGGGACCCAAGCACAGGAGATACGGGATATATCTAGGAGATGGGACCTAAGGATGGAGGGAAGGAGATATGGGATATATCTTGGAGAAGGGACCTACAGATGTAGGGCAGGAGATATGGGATATATCTAGGAGATGGGACCTAACGATGGAGAGCAGGAGATATGGGATATAGCTTGGACCAAAGAGCATGAGATATGGGATATAGCTTGGAGATGGGACCTAAGGATGGAGAGCAGGAGATATGGGATATAGCTTGGACCAAAGAACATGAGATATGGGATATAGCTTGGAGATGGGACCTAAGGATGGAGAGCAGGAGATATAGGATATAGTTTGGAGACAGGACCTAAGGATGGAGAGCAGGAGATATGGAATATAGCTTGGAGATAGGACCCAAGAGCAGGAGATATAGGATATATCTAGGAGATGGGACCTAACGATGGAGAGCAGGAGATATGGGATATAGCTTGGAGATGGGACCCAAGCACAGGAGATATGGGATATATCTAGGAGATGGGACCTAAGGATGGAAAGCAGAAGATATGGGATATAGCTTGGAGACGGGACCTAAGGATAGAGGGCAGGAGATATGGGATATAGCATGATGATGGCATCCAAAATGGACAGGAGATATACTACTCCTACTACTACTACTACTACTACTACTACTAATAATAATAATAATAATATTAATAATTGGAAACGTCTCAAAGCACAGCAGACAAAGAACTAGTACAAGAAAACTGCACTCCAAACCAGAGCTGACAGCTGGCACAACAAAGCACTGCATGGGCGGTTCCTTGACAAAATTGAAGGAAAAGTTGACAAGGAGAAGACCTGGTTATGGCTCACAAATGGAACCCAGAAGAAGGAGACAGAAGGCCTGATTCTTGCAGCCCAGGAGCAAGCCATCAGAACAAATGCAATTAAGGCCAGGATTGAAATCTCAGCTGATGACCCACTGTGCAATGAAGCTGATGAAACCATAGATCATATCCTCAGCTGTTGCAAGAAAATCGCACAAACAGACTACAAACAAAGGCACAACTCTGTGGCCCAAATGATTCACTGGAACGTATGTCACAAGTACCACCTGCTAGCAGTAAAGAATTGGTGGGATCATAAACCCGCAGAGGTCGTGGAAAATGAACATGCAAAAATACTGTGGGACTTTCGGATCCAGACTGACAAAGTTTTGGAACACAATACACCAGACATCACGATTGCGGAAAAGAAAAAAGTTTGGATTATTGATGTCGCCATGCCGGGTGACAGCCGCATTGAGGAAAAACAACAGGAAAACCTCAGCTGTTATCAAGACCTCAAAATCGAACTGCAAAAGCTCTGGCATAAACCAGTACAGGTGGTCCCAGTGATCATTGGCACACTGGGTGCCGTGCCAAAAGATCTCAGCTGGCATTTGGAAACAATAAACATCGACAAAATCACAGTCTGTCACCTGCAAAAGGCCACCTTACTTGGATCTGTGTGCATCATTCGGAAATACATCACACAGTCCTGGACACTTGGGAAGTGTTCGACTTGTGATTTGTTGATACGAAATCCAGCATATAGATCTTGTTTGCTGTGTCATACTGTGTTTTTGTGTCAGTAAAATAATAATAATAATAATAATAATTATTATTATTATTATTATTATTATTATTATTTTATATCCAGGTTTCTCCCACTAAGGGACCCAAAGCAGCTTCCAACATGTTAAAAATACAGATGATCAGACTTCGCAGTGTACCCATTAAGGCCCCGAATCCCATCCAAGCTTAGGCGCTAATCAGGGCCAGCTCTGGATAGTCCTTAGGTGGGAGGCCACGGACAAATGCCTGTCGCAGGTGGCTCTATTTTGGAGGGAAAGACTAGCCAAACCACCTCCCAAGAAAACCTGAGAGCTGTTATCAAATAACCAAGAAATCTGACTCCAACATGTGAGGAGTCATCTCCCAAGGAGTCCCGAAAGACTCTCCGGAGAAGCAAAAGGACAATGACAATTTCCCCAATTTACCACAGTTGCTAATAATACCAGTGATTGGCAAGTGTCAATTATTTCTGGATTCTGAAGAGGGCTTTTTGTGAGGGGAAGCAAGCATCTGACAGGGATTCTATTTTGGAGAATATCGTTTCTTTTGGAGGAGGCAGGAGGAGGAGAAAATAAAAGCTGATGGCAGCAGGAGGGAGAAGTCGTGCTCTCGGCGTGTGGTTCCAATTCTTCTTGTTTCCCTGTCGAGTCTGAGAAACATATATCCAGACTACACAGACTACATGTCAGGCTACACAGAGAAGCCACTGAAATCCACAAGCATGTGGACAATTTCAACAGAAAGGAAGAAACCATGAAAATGAACAAAATCTGGGTACCAGTATTAAAAAACTACAATTGTAACAGTAAATAAAGAACAAAACTCAAACACAGGGGAACTCCAGAGAAGAACCAATCAGGAACAGCTCATCACCTCTCAATAAAGAATTCCTCCAGGCAGTAACAAGTCACACCTAAAAACTGTTAGGCCATCAAATGCTAATCAAGGTGGCCAATTGAAACATTCACACCTAGCTCCAACAGACAAGAGTTCTTTCTCCCATCCTGGACTTTCCACAGATATATAAACCTAATTGTCCTAGTTTCTAATAAACCTCACAACCTCTGAGGATGCATGCCATAGATGCAGGTGAAACATCAGGAGAGAATGCTTCTAGAACATGGCCATACAGCCTGAAAAACCTACAACAACCCAGTGATTATGGCCATGAAAGCCTCCGACAATATATCCAGACTGTGGCAAACCAAACACCAAGCCATTGATCAGGAAAGGGCCATTTCCTATGTGACTACAGGACTCAAAGAGGTGCCAAGGAGGGACTACCTCGAACCTTTGGCAGGCTTTTTACCCATCAATGCCACCCAGTGACGGCTAGGGGATGCTGGGAGCTGTAGCCCCCGTCAGGCACTTTCCCAAGCTCGGTTGCCACTGCCAGGTGTATTGTGCTGACCTATCTGCCCCCTTGGGACTCTAATCTGAACCTGGTGGCATGGCCTCCTGGCATTTGGGCATCTTTGAAACAAGCTCCGCACCCTGGTTGGGAAATGCAGCTGGGAAGTGGCATC